CACCATAATTAGCAGCCAAACCTCCTGAACATCCAAGACCCTACAACCCCACACCCTGAACCGCAACTCTCTCCGAGGTGTCAAGAGGATGGGATGTGCGAAAGCCCACACCACACCCTCTATTGCTTGTTTGGGGCGTCGACGTCTAACAAAGTCACTTGTGGGTCCAAAAGCGCTATCTCTTGGTGCACAAGCTCTGAATTGCGGTTCCATGTTGTGATACAGCGCCTGCTGTACTACGTTCTAGTAGGTTCTGAACGACCTGATTAGACAAAGATTAGGGTTGATAACTTCAGGGTTTAGGACGTTTAGGACGTATTTAGGCCACAACCGGCCTGAATGGCGAGTGCCGCTTCACTGGTCGCATCCACGCTTGAGAACAGGAGGTTCGGAAAGCTGATGTTGTACCACATCGTAGCATTCCTTCACCACTTTGGCGCTGGGGTACAGGGCTTTGGGCTCTCTACATGTCGACACAGTTGGGGGAACTATGCCGTTGATGATCATGCTTTGCATCCGACGAGATGTGGTTAAGTCGAATATGTGTTTATCTTGTAACCATGGCTCTTCAGCGGGATCGCTAAGCACTAGGCAGAGAGAGGAGAGGCGAAAGGAATCTTTACATCGCTGTCCTCTTGCCTATTACACAAAAAGCCCGCAAACTCAACCCACCTATGCACCCAAAAAGCAACACAATCATGACCCTGAACCCCACCCCCCCCCCCCCCCCCCAGCAACCTGAGCCCTAACCCCTACGTGTGCAGGGACGCCGAGGCACTGCGGAACCTCCACCTCAACTGTTTCTTGGAGCCACCTCGAAAACCTACGATTCGTGAATTGTTGCGATCGCTTCTACGCAGGATTGAACCGAAAATTTAAAAAATTATAAAATGCCTGCGAATCCAAAACCAAAAAAAAGGTCTAGCCACGGGAGCTGGAGCACCAGTGGTGGTCTGAGTCGTCGTTTCTTCCGCTGTGGCGGTGTCGCGACCACAACCCGCCAGTTCCTGTCTGGAACTTTGGAACTTCGGGTTCCAGCGCTTAATTAGGGTTCACGGTTTGGGGCTTGCAAGGGTGAAAAAAGTTTTTCAAACAATACAACAGAGGAGAGCCCCTTCAGTTGGCTTTGCTTTCAGCTTCTCTCGCTTGCAATCTTCCACTGCAGGTTGTCATTGCTTCAGTTCTGGCTTTTCGTGTTCAGTTTTTTCTTCTTTAGCCTTAGCTTCAGGGCTCTGTTGTCTGCAGTTCTTACGTCGACTTTTCCCTGTGGATAGAACCCTTGAAGCTCTATAAGGCCTTGAGCCATAGAACCCTAGAGCTCGAAATTCCCAAACCTTATGAATTTGACAAGAAACTCCCAAAACCATCGGCCCCCAACCAGAACCCTAAACCCTTGGCTGAATGGCATGCTGAGGTCCCCAAGGAGCAATGCCCCTGTGCGGACGGAAAGGTCCTCGGTCTGTGTTCTGGGTCATTCGTACGAACAATACTATTTACTTCCCTCCCTCCTGCCAAAAGCAGCCTGACGCAATTCTTGGTTTGAACACTTTTGATTAGTACCTGAGCCAGGTGACACGAGGCCCCGCGGAACAATCTTCCTATTCTTGAGGCATTGAGTAAAGCAAGGCATTGAGTAAAGCAAGGGTCGATGTAAGAGGCAGGATGGATGGCTTCGAAGGCAGCGGTGGCGTCTGTGCCACAGAGCTTCTCGATGGCACCCTTGCCTGCGTTGTCTCAGTGCTTGAGAATGTTTGAGAAAAATTTGGGTTCCAGGAGTGTGGGGCTAGGCACCAGGGAATTTTGGCTGAGCGGTGCCTCCTGGCGGGGTGTACCGGTCTCCGGTGTGGAAGGGGATGTAGGCTGTCATGTCGTACCTTAGTGGGCTTCATCAACAGATTCTTCCAGAGGACTTCTTCAACTCTCTATGCAACTGGCAGGACCATCATAAAGCAGCCTAGAAGCACCTTGCATTTCATGGCCAGCCAGCAATCCGAGAGGACAGCGTGCCATGCCATTGCGGAAGACGAAATGACAGTGACACTCTCCGTTGGCACGGTGGGGTTCAAAATCGACGTGCCTCCCGTGTTTATCGCCGGAGCTGGTGCCGGAGTTGGAGCACCGGTGGTGGTGGTTGCGGGGCTTGGGGAGGGATTCCGACCGCCTCCTGCATCATAGGTGCCCATCACGGGCATGCGCGAGATGTAGGAGTCGGCATGGATGCTTCGGAATGAAGCAGTTACATCCTGGCCGCAAAGCAGCATGGAACTTCCCGCCGGATGGGTGCTGCGGAGAGCTGTCATGTCCACAACCCAGCTGCCGATCCGACCCCAGCAGTCGCCGGCAGTAGCATGAGTGGCAAGGACAGCAGCTGTGATTCCTGTATATTGAGTGGAGCCACCGCCCGAAGTGCCACCAGCAGCCGTGGTCGTTGTCGGAGGTGCTGGATACTCTCCTTGCAGGAGCCCCTTCAACACAATGTATCCGTGGTTGACTCCTTGTCCGACGTACGCGAAGGGGTGGAAGGCCCGGTAGGATGCGGTTGAATCCTGGCCACACATGGACAAGACGTACGCCTTTCCACCAGGATGGAAGTGCGTGTAGAGCGACAGGTCCATGACAACCTTCCGAGTACCATCGTCCATACTGGTCCAGCAATCATCTGAGGATTTGTGCAAAGTCACATCAGAGGCCTGGATAGCTGTCGAGGGGGGCACAGGCAATGAACCCCCTGCCGCACAATTGTTCCGCATCCCCTCATCGTCGTCCTCATCCTCATCCAAGCGCCGCGCTGGTGGTGTAGAGGCTGCGCTCCTGCAGATTTCCATGGCATCCCCGTCATTGATGGACTCCTGCAGGTCCTCCATAGTGTGGATACACCAGAAGCCAATTGAGCCGTCCCTCCCGCACATCTGCTCAATGACCCTGCGGCCACCTTCATGGTTCGTGAGCAAGCGCGTGACATCGTACACCACCTTCCTGGGAACTTTGCTGAATTGAGGGTCCCTTGCGAGGACCGCGCCTACTTCGGGCACTACGCTGTATCTAAACAAAAGGTAACTGTAACTCCAAGATTCTGTCGGTTGACGACAATCACCTGACGTGGCCAGAAGACTCTCCACCCCTCCGCCCACACACTCACTCCTCGCAAGTTCAAGTAAACGAACTTGAGCTTCCATTTCGGCTGCAGGTCTGGATCCAATCTTGTTTAATGAGTTTAATACAGTTGGTTCCCAAACACGTTTCCGGAGTAGTTGGGGATGCTTTGTTTGACGCCTCTTCGTGCAGCGGATGCTAAACCCAGCAAAGCTCTGGACTCTAAACTTCCTGAACCCTGAACAAATCTCCTGAAACCTGTGATGCCTTTCGGATTTCAACAAGTCGCACTCCAACAGCTTGTCGTCGTGGCATGGCTGGCTAGGAGCCCCGGTATTTCCGCTGCCGTGCACGTGTTGGCGTCCACCTCCCATGCAGCGTAGAGGTGCTGCTCTGATTGTTGCTGGGGCTTTCAGTATGGCGGGGTGTGCTACAGGCGTTACCTGCAACCTCAGACCCCAGATGATGGAGGCATCTAACTTACGTTACTGTCCCTCCTTCTTTTCGAGTTTGCGCTCATTTAGCTTTGAGGGTCTTCACCAGGAGCATGCTGTGAGCCTCCTTGCGCTTCCCTTGAGGGATTTAAGAAAGAAAATGACAAAACTGAAGAGGCGCCTGGGGTACCGCGGCAAGCAGCAGCCCCCACAGCCACTTGTGGAAAAGGCGCGACATGAGCGCAACGGTTCTTGGGATATTTGGAGTCCAGAGCTCTGCTCTGTCTGGTTAAAAAGGCTGCAGAAGTTCAGAGGCAGAGAATCGACACAGCTGGGCAAGTTCAGCAAGGTCCCCGTCACAATACAAGCTATCTTGGCCCGCGCACCTCCTTTCTTCGAATGGCCATCAAAACCCTCTGACAAATATTCCTGAATATGATCCTCTAAACCCAATAGGGGAAAATTTGAGATCTCCGTAAGCCATAGTGTCTCAACATCGGGAGCACACCGCGCCTGCGCGCGTAGCAAGAAAGGAGCCGTCCCAGGGCCTGGCATCTGAGATGCGCCTGGAAAACTGGACCCACCCCAAACCCTAAACCCTGAAGAATCTAGCAAGGCCTTTGGTTGCCCTACAGGGCAACTCTGCGGTTGCTGGAACCCGAAAGCCACAAATCCAACAAACATAGCGGAGGGAGCAAGAACAAAAAGGTTTTTTGCGATAGGACATGACACCTCACTCCATGCAACTACACCGCAGCAGACGGATACCAGCATATACCGCTATAGCATCCTCAGACACCGCAAGCTTGAACCACCAACAAAATTATCAATTATCTCCCCCCACCTCCCCCCTGCCTTCAGCAGCCTCAGCCAGAGCTTCAGCCTCCTGTCATGAGATCCAAGATTTTAGGGCTTGTAGGGCCTTAATGGCTCTGGCATGGTTTGGCATTCAGGATTTGTTTCTGAGAACATTGAGATGTCTAGCTTCTAGAACTTTGCAGTCTTGCCCTTCAAAACATGTTTTGCTGCGCCTACTGATAGCTTTGAGCGCCAGCGTGGTGATTAAGCCCTGAATGCGCTCTCTTTTGACGGTGGGAGACTCTGCAAGCGACAAGAGAAGTCGATGTGAGCCTTGAACAACATCTTGCTGCCCAAGCTACAGCCACTTCTTGAGCGGGGCCCGCCTCAAACGTCACCGCACCAAGGGGATAGCGTGGCCCAACAACCATCGGGACGCCCAGTCGAAGGCTGCCGCCTCTCAAGACTGACCCGAACCCGACCCAGGGATTCAAAATGCAGAGCGTCTTGGATGCCGGGTGGGCTGGTTGCGCGACTCCCTTCCAGTTCGGAGGCGAATCGAAGTTCAGAAATCAACCTCTCAATCCGAGACAGAAACCCTCCGAACTCCCTTGAGCCGAGACCTCATAAGAATCATAAACAGTCTAAGTGCCCTCAGGGCGAGTTCGGCGACCGTTACAAAAACGCATCCCGTTGTGAGCGACGGCCTCCGAGATGACTCAGCTCCCAGATCAGCTGCACCCGAACCACTACCTGAAAAGAGGGGTTCGGGGTGTAGGTTTATAAGTTTCAAGGCTTTAGGGTTTGCCACCCTGGGTTCCAGTGGATTCTGGCCTCGGGTTTCAAGGCTCGGTCTCAAATGTAATACTATCATAGTGCCCTGGGGCGTTGATCCAGTCCTTCCCCTTAATCCCCTGGCCCCTCTGCGCCTGGCTTTCCGGCGAGATCTGCCCGATGCTCAGCCTGGCACTTCAGCAGTCTGTGTATACCTCGTCCGCCCAACAGCATCCACAGAGAAGTGACCTGAAGGGCCCAGAATTTGTTTTCCAGAACCTTGCGAAACCAGCTACCATTCTGCCCACGAAGCCCTCAGGCAAGAGGTCTTCCAAACAATGGCCTCATCACATCTCCAGTGGCCTTCTCGAGAAGAGTCACGGCCTGCGAAGAAGGAGAAGCAATGCCTGAATTTTGGCCCCTTTCGTAGCTGAGCGATGAGCGACAGGCGACCGTTACCCTGAACCCTCTAAGCCGTAGATGCCTGCAAGCACATCCCCCGATTTTCAGTGCCAGTTCAGCTCTCCCCCTTGCGTGGCGCCTTCCGCTGTGCCCGCGCCTCTTCATACCTCAGCTTCGTCCTTAAGGCTCTACAGGGCTGAGGTCTCTCCCCCAATCCCTTTCTCGTTGTAAGGAGGGTGCTCTATTCTGTATGTGTGTGCAGCATGTTTTGTCAGGATCTGGGAAAGGAGAGTCGTTGTTCTGCAGTTTTGCTCTTCGGAAGCCGAGATGCTGTTCGCGAGCAGCGGCCTTCTCCACTACACGACCCACCTTCAGTTAGCATGGATCTGAAGTTCTTTGGTCACTTTTTTGGAAATCCGAAGGCATAAGCCCGAGGGTGGAACTCTACTCAGACCCTTCTCTTGTCTCTTCCTGGCTGTCAAATCAGGGCTTGGAGAAGTCGTAGGGTTCGGAGTTTCTCCATAGGAAGAAATTACGAAATCACAACTGATATCTACCATTAACACCTGAACTTCTAGAATCTGGCTTTTAGTGTGCGGGCTGGGAGATACCTCAAACGCGCACAGCACTGCAGAAGAACTGCCAGGCGCCCGAAGCTCCAAAACGTAAGCAGAGCAGAGCGGCGATCAGTCGCCCATCTACCTGTGCCGGGGGCAGTTTCAACACAAACTCGTGCGCTTGCTGCAAGACTCTGAGACCCTCTCACTCCAAAACCACAGAGAATGAAGGCCTCCGACCCTCAGCCCATCTAAACCTCAAACCCTACACCCATGCACGTGAAGCGCAAAGAAGAAATGACGCCCTGCCATCAACCTAATAGCTGAACCCCCACAGCTCTTTTGAAGGCCTATAGGACCCGGAGCTCAGACCCTCAGACCTATCCTAAAACCCTAAACCCTAAACCCTAAACCCTAAACCCGAAACCCTATGGACCCTAAACCCTAAACAATCTAAACCAGAATCCGGAAGCACCTCAGCCTGCATGCCTGCGATGGAGGCGGCCGGTCGCACTGGGAAGGAATAGGTCACTTCCAGTGAATCCTGGGACAGAAAAGGCTTCTTCTGAAGGTCCCTGTACCTAATGATCTCATATCTGGTCCGGTACACTATTCTTCAGACGGGGGCCATGAGTTAGATAAGTTCGTCTGAACCCCCACACTTTTCAGGCTCCACGTTTCAGAACCGATTCGTTCTAGAGAGCATTTGAGATTTAGAGTTGAGTGTATGCATGGGATTGAGGGTGTGGGCATTGGAGTAGCCACGTATTCCACTCCATCCAGCTTGCAGGGGAGGCACAGTCAGCCCAGCGAGCTGGGGTAGGGTTTTGGGCTACTCTGTGCCTCCTGAGCGGGTCAGCTCTGGTGAAAGAGTGCGGCTGCGCATGTTGTCTCTACAAGCGTCTTGTCGTCGAAGGTCTCTGACCCCAGTGTGTTGTGACAAGTGATGACGCCCGGGACACTTTCCACACAAGTTTCAGGGATACACTCAGCCAAACACTTCGCCAGCCCCAAAATAAAGCCCCGAAACCCCAAAGGGGCCCAGAAGGTGGGCCATGGAACTGCCGGCCGGAGCTCATGAGACGGATTGGCAAAGGTTTGTGTGTAGGTGGCCAGCACGGACTGGTCCAGCACCTTTCAAGGGGTGTATTTCTGTAGGGTTTATGCTGTATGGGATTCAATATGAGGGCTTTCTACACTAAGCCCTGCAGTGAATGAACCCGAAAAGCTTAGTCAAGCCTAAGCCCCTCGATCTGGGTTTGGTCCGATCCACTCTCCTTCATTCCCGCCTCGAGATCCACTTCGAAGGCCGTCAGCGGTAGCAGAACTGGCCTTAAAGGAGCATTGCGAACTGGAGGCTTTCCCAAGGCCCTGAACGATCGGGGCTCAGGGCCGTTCAGCTAATTATGAGCTAGGGGCTCTGAACCCAAACGCCCATTGCCTTTTTCAATGCACTTGGGGGCCAGGGTGTGCGCATGAGTTCATGGTATATTATAAGGTCTAAGCCCAAGGTTTGCGAGATCGAAGGGGCTCTATACTTATGATTAGCTGCACGCTCGGAAGCGCAGGCGGAAAGGCAAAAGGATGCTCCAGCCCCAATGTCAGGCGAGATCCAGCAAATCGAGGACTAGGTTGTTCTGCAACCCCAGTAATGACGTCATGCGGTATAGGAACCTCCGGAGCCAGCTGACACTGCACTTGAGAAAACGCCAGCCTTTGGTCCCCAAACATGCCGGCGAGCGACTCGTCGCCCTGTCAGGACACTTGTGCTTGGGTAGAAGTGATGCTTACATGACATTGTTCTAATGACACACACACAGACACAGAGACACGCATACCCACCCATACCCACCCGTACCCACCCATACCCACCCATACCCAGCCAACCCACCCATACCCACCCATACCCACCCCTACCCACCCAACCCACCCATACCCATCCATACCCACCCACACCCACCCACACCCGCCCACCCCCACCCACACCAACCCCACACCCACCCACCCACCCACACCCCCGCGCACCAGCACCAATTCGTGCACCAGCACCAACCTGCGCGCCAACACCAACACCAACACCAGCACCATCACCACCAGCACCACCAACACCACCGACACGACTAACAAAACGGCCAAAACGGCCAATACCGCCAACACTACCAACACCGCCAACACCGCCAACACCACAACAACACCAACGCCAACAAAACAAGAACTCAAAACAATGGGAACGCGCTGCTCATCCTGTATCCGTGACCCGAGGCCCTCAACCACAAATCAGGCCTCTCCAACTCCTGCAAGGCCACCGCTCGCCAGGGAACGGCGCAAAGCCTCAACGGATCGATCCTGACGTGAGCGGTGGGCATCGGCCATGTAGTGCATTCCCGAATAGGTTCCGTGTCTCAGGCTGAAGCCGCAGACCGGACCAAACCCAACACATCCCCAAACCCTTATATTTTTGAACCTATGCTTGACTTGCAGCTCGCTCTCTCTCTCTCTCTCTCCTTCTTTCTTTGGGCTTGGGGCGACTCTCTCTCCCTCTAGCGGTCTGACTGTTCTTGTTGCTACTTCATCACGGAAATAATACTAGCGGTCATCGGGAATTGGTATGGATTTGGTTGATCTTGGGCATCAACAGGACTTGCAGTCCTTGCAATTCGACCCCTGCTCCAAGCCTTCAACTTCTTTCGAGTTGTAGCCTCTTTAAGAGGGGAGATTGCTTTCTAGGTGTCTAAACGGGATTTAGGGGACAATGTCAGTACGTGAAGGTTTGATTGAAAGACCTCCTGCCGCTGACATGAAAGACTAGGATTTGCTTGCAAAGTTCTTGGCATCCACTTGTACACCCGCAGGTGAGGCCAGGTAAAGAAGCAGCAGTTCTTTCTTCACCCCATCCTCTTCACCCTTCGCTGCGCGGATGGCGTTGCAGTGCTCCTGCGAAAGCCCGCGGCAGCAACTAAGGCGACAGAATGGCAGGGCTTATAGAGTGCCGGACTTCAGGTTTACAGTCCACATCATCTTGAACACGTCACACCAAACTTCAAGAACGCAGAACCTCCGCGGAATTCTTGACAGCAAGAGTGAAGCAACAGGTCACAAACCCTGACATTACTCAAATTAAAACCTCCACCATCACCTGGGCCCGAATACGAGTAGAAACCTCGAACCCCCAAAACCCTGAAGACCGAAACTAGAAGCCCGGAGCCCTGCGCCAAGCTCAGTCCTGCCACTGCATAATCTCCGCCTCCTGCTCAGGTGTCCGGTCGCCAGCCTCAGCGGAGAGACCCGGATGGCCGATTGTCTAGATTCGGATTTTGGGGATTTCTTTAGGGCTTAGGCTGTTGCAAAGCAGCCCTTGCAGAACTGACTTCTATCTCAAACATCCCACAGGCTCGAACTCAGAACACGCCAATTTCGAGTTCCTTGAAGGGTTGTAGGGGTAAGCTTTCGAGTTGGGGTCTTGGGGTGTTAGGGGAAAGCGAAAGATTTGAAACCCCTCCAAACCCTACATTTTGAGGCTCCTAGGCGTGCTCTGGGGCAACCCCTGAATTTGAGACCTAGGCGGATAGCGGCAGCCGAGGTCATCTTTGGAGGGCTGAGGACGCAGCAACTTGCCAGGAGTTCAAGCTCAGGGGGTGTGCGATTTGAGATGAGTTGAGGTTCCTGGCTCGACTGCTCGACTTTCAAAATTCTTGCTTCGCTACAATCTTCATCCTACGCGTACACCAAGCCCGCCTCTCTTGCTGCCGAAGCGGCGAATAGGGCAAATGCCTCACGAAACTCCTCGATTTGCTCTTCCGTCCTTGCACAAGCTGCAAGTCGCCAAACAGTGCAGACCGGAACTTCGGAAACCTAGCCGGCCTTCCTCGACAAGCCGGAAGTGATCAACAGGAATCAAGAACCCCAACACGCCAAGTACCGCGGAACTACACTGCTTGGCATTGGGGGAACAACTGAGGTCGAATCAGTTGGTCTGCCATGGCTGTAGGAATCTTGCAGCGCGCTGTGCCCTCTCGAAGTTGTTCCACCCCACTGCGAGCCGGGAAAGCGTCGATGAGAGGTCGGCTAAGGGATGTGTAGCCCGAAACTCAGCAACCTCCTGACTCATGGCTGTAAACCTCAAAAAGAACCTGAGCCCGTACACTCTGCCGCGAGGTCAGCAAGCAGAGCCCAGGTACAGATACAAAGGTCTAAAAACATGACACGCGTGTATGCGAAACTGGAGCTGATCTTCACTTTTCAGGTGCCCTGGTCACTCTGAACATCTGAGGGCCTTCAGGAGGGGCTTAGGGCACCACAGTGGCAGCGCAGTGTGCTATATTAATGGCTTCAGCAGCTTTCGTGGGTTGCGTTTTTTTGGATTCAGGGTCGATGCTGCTGAGCTGAATCTGTGTTGCACAAGGCCAGGGAAAACATTTGCACAGGGGAATGAAGTAGAAGACAGTTCGCTTGCAGACTGACGCCGAAGATCCCGAAGCAGCTTTTTTCTGCTGCGCACACGATAAATGTCGACCAACCTCGATTCAAGCTCTAGAAACCCTTAACCCTTAAACCGTCAACCCGCCACACACCCTGCAAGCTGAGTCATAGCCCTAAGCACTCATGATCAAGATTCCAAAGTGTTGCCCCGAGGCGTGCTGCCCTCAGCCAACGTGGATACCCGAGACCTCTTTGATGAAGCGCTCGTGCAACTGCCTTCTGCGACAGCAAAGAGGCTACTGATTCAGAGCTGGAGCTTCAGGACTCAGGCAAAGATCGTGCGCTGGTATAGCATTGCATCTGTCGTGTATACGCCACATCCTCCCACCCGGCCTCGCCAGAGCCTTGCTGGAGACGGCATCGAGGTTCTTGAAGGGACCATCATTACATCCTGGTGACTAATTTGACCGCAGAAGGGCGAACAGCAAAAGGAAGCACTGAAATCACACGATGATAAGCTCAATGCCTGTGTAGGCTAAGACTATTTGCCGTCGGGCGTCCCATGATCGTCTGGAACGTTGGTGGGAACCTTAGCTCAGTGATCGAAAAGAGACTCTGCATCCCATGGTCGCTACACTTACACCGTCAATTCTCGCAACATCCCAAGACCCTCAACCCTCAACCCCATCTAAACCCCCCAAGCTTGCCCAAACTCTCTACCCTTCGACGCGGCGCGGCGAAGCCAAGTGACAAATCTCGGAGTGGTGGACAAAAGGAGCTCAAGCCGTATTCGGCATATAATTAAGCCCTAAACCACACTGCGAGCCAGGGGCTTGAGGTTCAGCATTTCGGTGTAGGCTCCGCCCCGCTCCCCTCCGAATTCTCAAGCCACACGGAGCCTTGCACCGAACTCCTTTAGATTTAAGCCTTATCAACCCAAACCCTGAACATAAATACCAGCTCGCCCACCCACAGCCCCAATAGACCTGCACCAACTATGAACATTACCCTGCCTGCATACTCAACTTGTGATTTGATCTTGCGGCCGAGGGGCTTGATCTCCTGTATGGGCAGTTCCCGTCCACTGGGGCGGTACCTCGGGTTTATAACCCTAAACCCAACCCTTTTTTGCTAAGAGGGCTTTTCTGTTGGGCCACATTGGGGCCTCGGCCCTCTCTTTTTAAGCCCGAATCCAGGCTTCGGATTTTTCTCGGATGCCTCGCATGTCCTCGCATGACTCAAAGTTACAACCGAATGCTCCTTTGCTGCCACATCGCAACCTCGCGACTTAAACCTACATCACCTAAGGCCCCTGAGACATGGGCTCGAAGGTGTAGACCATGTCCGACTCCGCCTTCTGGGCGTTGTAGCCTGCAGCTGCAGGTGAATCAAGGAAGGCCACCTCGCCTCGAACAACTGGAACAAGCAAGTATCGAGGACATCCACTTCAATCTGCGATTGCCTCTTCAGATCACTTGCAGCTGCCTATAGCTGCCTCAAGAGGGTTTTTTAAGACTACAGGCTTGGCCCGTGAGCGACTACATGGTCTTCATCCGCCACTACATCCGAGCCCAGGGTCTTTTTGAGACTGCATTCGGGTTGGGGGGCTTACCTGCTCAGGACTTGGTGTTTTTGTCGTTTTTTTTCTTGTTTCTGGGGTTTGACACAGCAGGAGGACCTGCACATCGCCAACTTTAACACCCCCAATCACTTCCTTTCAGCGCACCTTGACCATCGCCCGGACGCTTCCTCGGGAATGGCTCACATAGGAACAAACTGATCTCGCCCAGGCTTCGGTGTTGTCAACTGGAGCCAACAGAGAATATTGCCCGAGATCTTGCGTTGCAGTTCCTACAAAGCACCAGAACTAAGACTGGAACATCTCAGAAATTTTAAACCTGCGATCAAAACTCTGCTTCGAATCTGGACGTGCTCGGCGGTAAAAGCTCAGTCTTGACTCAACAAGGCCTATATGTAGCTCTTGTTAATGAGGGTTTTTTCGTCATACGCCTCGAGTCCTAAGACCTTTGGTGGTTACATTGTTGTCTCCAGCCCAAGCTGAGAATCAAGTACTGTTGGTCCAAGAAGCTTCTTGTCTCGCCGGTCGCCGTATGCCCGGCCGTAACGATGGAGCCTTGGTGGGAAACAGGATAAGAGCTTTTCACTCTAGGATTGTTAAGGAACCTTGCCATTGAGATTGACCAAGGGCTTAGCAGTTTAAAGGCGCAACGCAAGAGCTGAAACGTACATCAGGGGAGGCCTACATCAGGGAACGCTACCTAGATCCAAAGAGTGATAAAACGGCCATGGCTTCATGCCTGGAAATTGTTTTGGCTTCTGTCGGACTTGGATCCTGCATCTTCCGCGGCCAATAGGCCAATGTGATCGCTTAGGGATCTCACACTTCCCCACCTCCGACCTCCTTCGGAGCAAAACTTCTCCATCCTCGACTCCTACTGGATGTTCGATGGTCTTGCAGGTACCAGTCCTTCTGCTTAGACATCTCCCGAAGTCCCAAACCTGCTCGGGCACCACCGTCATAGCCTACCCGCCTGTCTCCCATGTCTCAAGGCAAACCTCTTGCTGCTTTGCTAGTCCTAGAGTTCAGGGTTGGAGTTTTGCCTGTAGGGTTCAGGCTGCTTAAGGGTGTGACGGATTAAACCGTTTTGGTCTAGGGTTCGTCCCTTCAACACGCCTCCAAACAAGCAGATTGTGCAGACGTAGCAACGACCACTCCAGGAATGGCAGTGTCTCCACATGCCTCAGAAACCCAGCCCCTTAAAATACGCAATCCTAGGACTCGTCTGTGGGCTTGTGCGAGAAGGGCCAACAGACATTAACTCAGACCCCCGGGTCTACAGGGCGCAGCCCGCGTTGCCGATATTTGGAGGCCGTTAACCTGTAAAGCCTAAGCCCTCAAAAAACACTGCTGGATTTGGGATCGTCGGGATTTGAGTTCCGAGTTTCATTGGTGCCTTGCAGGTAGTCAGGGTCTGCAAGGCTTCAGGGCTTCCCAACATATCCTGATCACCCTGTCCTCACGAACCTGAAGCCCTCAAAGCACTGCATTCAGTATCCAGTACATCGGAGTCGCTGGAATTCGTTCTGCTCCGCCGATCCTTAACTTGGGATCTTTGGGCAGTGGGATAAAAGGCAGACTCTCCATGGCATGGCGGCAGCGGGGGTTGTCTAAAACTGCTGGACAGGAAGCTTAGGAACCTCTCCCATAAACTTACAGCCACTTTCGTCAGACAGGCAAGGCTCCGAGGATGTACGAGTATCGCACACCCACGGCTCCCATGTTTGATGCGATCTTCACGAGCCCTCCCGGCTTCACAAAGTAGCGCAGGTTGCGAAAGAACCTGCGCCGGGGGGGGGGGGGGGGGCAGATGGACAAGAAGCAACCTCGGCCTGCTATTTGGGCTGCACTTCGCTAAAGTTCCTGTGAATAGCGCAAAGGGACTAACTTTGAACCGTTAATCTTTGCTTGCGCGCTCTTGGTCAGGCTATTGGACGAAGCGAAGCGGCAATCGACCTAAATCCCAAACTCCTTGACGACCCCATCCTCAACCCCCTAAGTCAAGCCGCAATCGCATAAGGTTCTCATGGCGCCAATTGACGATGGGATGGCTATCCTGGCTGCAAAGGCAGGGTGATCGAGTCTGGTCATGTAAAGCGAGCAGGGTCTAAGTGTAGTGCAATATTTGTTCAGCTCTAGGGATTCGAGGGTACAATCTACACGCACAACCGCCCAAGATATCTTCAACACATTGCTGGGCACGAATGAACAAATGAACTTGCGAGCTTCAATCAGCTCTGAAACCCGAAGCCACGAACCAGCAGCCAGAGTCCAAAGCTGAAGAATCACAGAAAGATCTTTCCTCCAGAACCTTTGCAAAAGCTTGTAGGACTTGGAGAACTTTCCTTTTCAGACTCGAACTTAAACCCTGTAAAGCCCTGGACCCTAAACCCTAAACCCGAACTCGAAACCCCAAACTAAACCATCAAAGGGCAGCCGTGGCTCGTAGAATCCGGTGACGTGGCCCTGCCCTGGCTGCAGGTCCACCTGCGCTAACAAGCACTTGAGCCAACAGGGTTCAAAGGCTTCATGGGGTTCATAGGGTTCAAAAGGGTTCAGACAGAGGGTTCAGAGGGTTCATAGAGTTCGGGTTTAGGGTTACAGGTGCTCGGGGTGAGGGTTTTGTAGACATGTGCCTTGAGTCTGCGGAACCCGCGCAATCCGTGAGAGCACCTATAACAGCCAAAGCGCCCCGAAACCCTCAAGGCCTGTTTTCAACAGCACCTAGTCAGAAACCGGAACCTTGAGGCCCCCTGAGCAGCAAAAAAAGTGACGAAACGTGGGAAACATATGTCTCACCACATTTTTTTGTTTGGAAACATATGTCCCCCCATACTTAGTTGTGGAAGGAAGCTCGCTCGACAACTCTCCTTAACCGTGGAAGAGCGGAGCGGTGACTATGGCAGATTCGGGGGGTTAGCGGCTTTCAGGTTGTTTCCGGGCTTGACGCTTTGGGAGTGGATTAAGTTGTCGGGGCCAAACTGAAGCCCTGACTGATGTACCAAGCCCTGGCCCTAAACCCTAAACTCCTAAAGCAAAGCCAGAGGAGGATCATGTGCAGTGAGCACGCCCACGTTTTGTTGGACTTTCGTAAGTACTAGAGCATAGGCCACATAAACCCGAGGCCTGCACCAAACCCGGACAACCCCCCCCCCCCACCCGCCCCCCCTCCCCCGCTAAATTCTCAAATCAAACCCTCAAGTACCCTCAACCACTCTATCCGCCAGGAACCATAGGAGGGCTCCCGTTTTCAGGGTTCCATGCATTCCAGTGCTACTCTAGGGGGTTTTAAGGTCTGAAGTTCATCTTGTTGGGCTCAGGACCACACCCAGGCAGCACCGGCATGAGGGAAGTTGTAGTACACGGCCCCTCAGCACATGTTAAGGTGGTAGTGCCAGTTCAGGATCCCACACCCAGCTTCCGCCAAAAATCGGATCGCGTGCAATGCGCGTGAGGAGTGCAAGAAAGCGCTCGTCCCTTTCCAGCGCCTCCTTGGGCTGCCCCCCAAGAAGCAGACCCGAAATGCCCAAACCTTAAACCCTAACTAAACCCCTAAACCCCAAGCCACAGAGCGCTTAGATACACCTTAAGCGCAAGCATCCTGCACCGAAAAAAACAGACGTACCAGCAAGCAAGAAACATGGAGAGTGAAGGTCCAAAGAAAGTCTCCACGTGGATTGTAGGGGTCTTCGACTTTGGGAGTTCTTATAGTCGTTGACTTTGCCTGACATGGGCTTAAGGAAGTCATTGGCGGAGAGGCAAAAGCAAGGCCGAGAAACAACGAAACCCCTACATGCTTCCCCTCGAAATTGCAAAAATTAATTGCAGACCCAACGCTCATGCCTCAACCGAAACCTTTAGAACCCCCCCAGGGCCCTGTTGGGGTCCCGACCGATGGACCCCTCCATGTTTTTGAAGCGCGGGTCGAGGGCTATGCGGGTGCAGTCGACCTCCCCCCCACGCCACACAGCTTTGCTTTGCTCTTCGGCTTGGGGTTTGGGAATCATGCAGGGGCTTGGGATCATGGAGGTTGGGACTTCAGGACAGGCATCCTTCGGCCAGAATGGAGCCACAGTAGTGGGCTTACATTACCAAAATTCCAATACAATTACTCGACGACGAAGACAAAAAACGCACAGGGCACGGTTTCAACCTCAGGCCAAGGAGATCCCTAACGCGCTGCTCTTTAGGTGCAGTAGCTCTAGGCTCTAAACATGAACGAGCACGAAGAAACTTACCCCTGAACAGGCAACCCCGACCTCGTGATAGACATCGGCGAGGTGGTCATCCAGCATCTTGATAGTATCGTCAATCCTCGGAAAACTTCCGTGGCAGCGCGTGACACAATCATGACGATCGCTGCGGTAGTCCATGTTTGCTTCTTTTGGGTAGGATCTTCATGCCCATGATCATGCAAGTTCACCAGTCTCAGTCTCAATCCCTGCAGCCCAACAAAAACCTGTCTGCAACTGACACGACAGCTCATATTACCAAGCACAGAAATTTTCCATTCTATAATCCTACGTGTGTGTATAAACGGACCTTGCCTTGCAAACATGGCGATCTTAGACAAGGAAGGGGTTTTGCACTTGCGCCAAATGCACTTGCGCCATGGGATCTAATGCCTCCATCTGTGAAACAAAACAAAAGAAAAGGTCTGCAAAGGGATGCCGCTCCTTTTCTGCTCGCCTGCGCTGCACTGAGCTGGCTCGCATCCCGCATCTGCCCAAGTGGCAGCCCCGACAAATGGTCTCCAGACAGGAAGAGCAGCAACAAGAGCGCTGGCTTCGTTGCTTCTGAAAACCAGGCGAGAGTATACACAAGCTCCGCCAGCTCTCACACCGCCACAGGCATGGACGCAGAGCTCAAGGCTTCAATGATCTTCATGGCCGCCTCCTCCCCTGTCTGAATGGCACCGTTCCTTAGGGCTGGGTGTTGGGGAAATTCGGTGTAAGTAGGGGTTTGGAGGCTCATTGCATGAGGCCAACGGTTTAGTTACGTTGGTAAAGATCCTTACAGGGTGTCGGGTTCTTCTGGGTTTATGCACCAGCCCTGCAAAGTTCCACACCCTCGTCATGCCATCATCCTGAAAAACTCTGGCGGCCTCCCCAATTCAGAAGAACACTCTGTGACTCCTAAACCCGACAACCCTGAAAAAAAAAACAAGCTGCAGGGGCTCATGTACCCAAGGCTGGCTAGGCTGTAGTCGCCACCGGCAATCCACAGTCCTGGTGGCCCCAACCGCCTGGTGCTCGGGTTTTGGGCGACCCGGCGCCGTTTTAGGGTCCAGTTTCGGGTTCGTGGGGGTTTTGTAGCTTCAGGGGTTTAAGGCTTCTGGCTTTGGAGTCGGGTGTGTGGCTCTGGCCTTCTTCCGGTTCCCTCTATAAACCCGAACGCTCTCGAGCACTTACTCTACAGCCTGGGCAGCCTGAAGGCCTCGACCCGGAATCACTCGCTCCAGATCCCCGGGATGGGCCTCTGTTCGTAGATGCGCCGCATCTGTGGCCAAAAGCTCTTCAGGACGCCCGGCGGGCAGAATATGTTGTAGCCGCCCCGGGCGAACCTGATCCGCACATCTGAACCCCTAAGGCCCTGAACTTAACGTGATAGGACCATGCGGCCCATGCGCGTGCATGCGTGGCGCATGAGAAGTTGCGAAGGCAGGAACCAATGTGTTTCTTTGGGTGGCAGAGTTGCAAGGGCCCCTATGCAAAGTGAGCCCAGCTTCGGGGCGAAGTCCAGAAGGCAAAGCCAGGGTCATAAGCCCACTAAGCCGCCACATCTGCTTAGGTGAAGAACATGCCCCTCCAAAGCCAGCATTTTCAGCTCCAGTACGCAAAGTATATGATTTGTGGGGAAAGGGTTTTGGGACGCCGAAAGGGAAACAAACGAGCAGTTCACTGCAACTTGATTTCTAGGTGTGGTCAGAAGCTGACTCCAATGGCGCCACGAACTAGGGCTCTACAGCCTCATGATAATCTACAAGTACGATGGCCCTTGACATCCTTTGAAAAATATTCCTGAACATGATCCTCTTAAATCCAATAAGGGTGAACAGATGTCTCAAGGGCCTACCTAGTGATTCGACGGCTTACGTCACCGGGGAACTCGTCGTCTGCCCAGTTCTTCGACACGACCTCGACCATCTTCTGCTCAGGTGCTCCTGGCGACGTTGAAAGGCAGCCTTGAAGACACCCATTCTCACTCGGGGTTCAAACGCCTCCTCCGATGGAATGCCCCAAGGAAAGCTCGAAAAACTAAGGGCCCGAACGGAAGAGTTGTGGACGACGAATATGATTACAAGCACCTTCTGCTTTCAACAGATTTGCGATTTGCGCATCTAAAACAAACTTCCCTGCCTAGTGCTTCTGCCAGGATGTTCTGCATCGCTGACTCTCGCTCCGAATCTGTGAGTCGGAGGAATGCCTTGGGTCCATCTGTCGCCAAGGGTCCCAGGGCTTAGCGTGTAAAGTTTAAGGTTTCGGATGCTGAGGACTTGATCTTCCCTGGCCTAGATACACTCATCCACAATGAAGTCACGCCAGGCATGCAGAGTGCTGCCGGTCGGCTAATCAACAAAAACTGCATGACAGAATGGTAAAACCTTCAAACCTAAACTGTAAGCCCATATTCAGATGCAGGAACACGACCACCTCCACCTGCAACCCGCGCACTAAACCATAATATGGTAAGGACTCCGACGAACCCCGGCTGGACCCTCAACTGGTCGAGAAAAGGTGCTCGATTCTGCGCCCCCTCCGTGAAGCACGTGAGGACCTTTTTTCAACACCACAAGTCCCAAAGCAAATCAACCCGTACACCCCAAATCCCTACTTCAAAGAAAAGCACGCTTGAGGTTTGTAGGGTTTATGGAGCTTTATGGCATGTAGAGTGTAGTGTCTTGGGTTGTTGGGGTTTTTATGGTTTGGGTTTGTGGACCGGTCATATGCCTGATGGTGCTTGCTATCTTGCTTGTGGCATTCCTGTCATGTTCCACCTGAAATGCTGCTAGTGCATCTGGCACCCCGAAATGTCCTGCAAACTCCAGCCAAAGCTCTATTCAACTCAAAATTTGGGACTCAGTGGAATGGGTTCAAGGAAATCGAAACCCTTGAGCGCTCAGGGTTTTGCGGGCGCATTCAGGGTATGATTTCGATAGACCCTGTGTTGATTTGGATGTCACGACATCGTTTTGCAAGCTTTATAGTTGTTTAGCGGCCCTTGAGTGAGGCATGCTTGGGTCTCGGCCCCGCGGGCCCAGGAGTACGGAGAGTTGTCGAAGCCTCGGCCAAAAAGAGAACACAAAGAAGCCTGAAAACCCAAAAGTATATACGGGTCCAGCTTTAGGGGTTAGGCTAGACACAGCTCTTAGACCCCCAGCTTGAATTTCGAAATCCAAGAAAAACTCATGCAGACTCCGCAAAACCTCAACAACCCAGAAGCCCCCTAACCCGGAACCGATTCGGCGAACACACGCTCGAAGCCTGACGGCATCAGACTCTTTCAGGGAGTTTGACAACTGTTTCGGCCTCGCATTGTTGAGGCAGGAGGCATGAATGCACATAGTTGCTGGGCGCCGACGTGTTGAGAAAGATGATCTTTCCCAGGAATCCTCTGCAGAGTTGAAAACCAACTCGCAACACTCAACAACACCCCGCTAAACCCGAACCTGGTAAAGAGGAGGCAGGGTAAAGGATTAACCCAGCATCCGTGCTCGCGCCACCAAGGCTTCTCATAGACCATGGAGTACTTCATGGTCGTACCGACGGGCAGTCGCCTTAATATCAGGCGCGAACCCTTCAAAGAAAAAGGAGCCTTTTTTGTGCAACGTGTAACGCCTAAACTCCCCCAAGCCTTTACATCCCGACATCCGACTTGCTGCAGTCAATTCAAAATTCACAAAAAAGAACCCTCAAACCCTAAAGAACTCAAAATCTGTGTCCGAATTGGGCGGCCCAGCTTCTGAAACAGCTGAGCGGTCGCCCCATCCAGGGGGGGTTGGAAGTCGATGGCAGTTATCAGGCTGGGGGTGAGGCCAGCCAAGACTACGTGTCGTGCCACCACCTGAGCTGTTCAGCTGCGGAAGGATTTAGGGTTTTGAGTTTTAAAGGCGTACACGGTTGATGATGATGTTTTGGATTTGGGCTACACTGCCCAGAAATTTGTAAAAATCCGCGAAGCAGTTAGGAGTCACCAGGGCTTAGCGTGTAGGCTGCCGGACGAGGGTTGGTGCAAAGCATAATCAACACACACACATAATTGTGCCTGTTTTGCTATGTGCCGAATGCACTATGGCCGGTACGAAGAAGTCCACACCCTGTAGTCTCTCAAAACATTCATCCGAGACGCAGCATGCCGCTTGAGGGCTGTCCCGACTATGCTAACCTTCTTCTCAATTACTAGAGCTGTTCCTGCCGGAGCACAATGCCCTTGGAGCTGATCACGTCGTACCGTGCGTCCTCCCGCTGCCGGATTGCCGTGACTTTCGCTCCCAGCTGCAGGTCCTGTCCTGTGTCGCAACAGTGTGCAAGCTGAACCCAACACCCCCCCCCATGTTGCTGAAAGTTCCAGACAAAAGAACTGTTTTTAAGGAAGTGCGATGCTGAACCTGAGAAAGGCAACACAACTCTCAGTTTCTTACATTACGCTTAGAATTCCGCAAGGTCGAACTCGACCTGTCTAGTAATGGAATCGTGGAGCGTCTCGAGCATGAACCTTTCAAACCGATTTTCGCGATACACTTCATTTTCGCTTTAATGATTTCGAGGCCCATGAAAGCTTCTTCGGCCTGTAAATTGGTCTTGGAGTGCTTTCAGAGTGGTCTCGAAGAGTTTTGGCGGGGTCATCTTGGCGTGCTCTTACAGTGGTCTTGCGATGTCTATAGGGTAGTCCACCGTAACCTTAAGATTCAATCCTCTAAAGCCCGAAGCAGCTAAACTGCACGAGGATCCCAGCTGCGCAGCCATGCGCAGGGCGGGACCTTGCGAGCCGCCACGGACACGCCAGAAGTTCTCCTTCCGCATCTGGGGCTTCGGGGTGTGAACCCGATCCCAACCGGCACCCTGACCTTTTTGAAAGCTGTGCCAGTTCAGAGTTGAGGATTTAGGGCTTCCGGTTGTTCGCAGGAGATTGCAACAGTATGGCATCACCCAACACCAAAAAAAATCTACCAGGTTCTACCGCGCAAGCTTAAAAATTTCAACAGCCCCAAACCCCGATGCGAAAGTCCGAAGGAGCAGGACGGTCCTGCCCAGATCCCTCCACTGAGTCCGAGCAGTTCAGCGACCAGATCACAACTCAGGGGCTCAGTGCTTTGGGCTTCAAAGCGTCTTGAGGCTTCCTCGTGCTTAATTAATTCCCTGCCCCCCTAGTCATGGGGATGGGGATATTTCAGTCGGGCACACTGGGACTCTCTACAGGTCTTGTCTACGGAGGCATGGTTCTGGGAAGCATTACGGACAGCCACTAGGAACATAGTGGAACCCCAGTTCTACAAACACACGATTATGATGAATTTTGCAACTTTCTGCATATTCTTTAAGCTACACGTCATGGAAAGGCATCTGTGATCAGTGCAACCAAGTCGCACAGGGCCGAAATTTGAGACAGGTCTTCCGCATCGTCAGCGTTGGCCCAGAGGATATTGTAGGCCATAGGAAAATTCTGTAAGCCCAGCACCATGTTCAAGTAGGCGTCGTAAGACAAGGAGTCCCAGCGCGATGCGTTCGGGTTGGAAAAGGGTGCGTCACACGGCGTGTTTCGTATCTGTCGTAGCGTCGGGCTCGCCCTAAACCCTAAACCCTAAACCCTGAACCCTGAACCCTGAACACGGAACCCGGAACCCTGAACCCTGAACCCTAAACCCTGAACCCTGAACCATGAACCCTGAACCCTAAACCCTAAACCTTTGAGCCTTAAGCATGAGCCGATTGTCAAAACGCCTGGCCTCACGGGACATCTCCGCCTGCGCTTTGTGCAGGACTTCCAGCTCCTGCACAACTCCCAACTCCCAACCGGCGGGTGTGTAATTATGTGGGTGCTACCCTACTTAGAGCAGAGACCCAAAACGGGGCCCTGTGTAGGGGCCGAAGCATGAACAACTCAAGCCTGAGCACTCTGCTAGCTGCTTCTGCCGACATTTGGGTTGGTCCAGGTGGGTTTAGGCTTCAGGGTTAATTGAGGGTTTCGGTGTTATTCTTGCCTCAGCAGTACCCTGCAAGCTGGCTGGTCGATTGCTGAAGTACCCCCATGAGCCTGTACGGGTGAAGTCTTTGGGGTGCCCTGTGAAAAGGAACCCAACCAAAAAAAACCAACAGGGAACACAAACCACCCCTTGTAGAGTTTAGTTTAGGGTTGAGAGCCCTATGGGCCACTAAGGGCCACTATGGGGCCTCTTATGCCCCTGAAACACGGATGCGTAACGCCCAGAGCGGCACGGAGAGCCTGCTTTGGAAGCAGACGTGTCGCTGCGGATGGCGACGGCACGCTTCGCCAGCCGTCTTCGGAGCGAACCTGACTGCTTGAGGGTTCAGACGACCCAAACTGCTGCAACGGCACGAACCAATGAAGGCTTTAGACTCTTGTGGTGTTCTGTCTCTCCAAGCTTGTCTGACAGTTCTGCATTCATGGGTGATTCTCAGTCTGTGATCTCTAGTCGGAAGTATCTACATAGTACGGTGATATGTCAGGCATTGGATGGACTTGACAATCCGCCCGGCACTCTCGCACAGAGCGTGCAGAGGGACGTGGCAATCAACCATACCCTATACAACGCAACACGACTCATAAGGGGTTGGGATCACTCAGAAGCGAGGCCTATATTTAGTGTCCCCGCACACCCTCATGGCGAATGAACTGGCACTGTCCTTCGGATCCTCACATTCCGGTCTAGGACATTTGGGCTCTACTCAGCCCTTTACCTCAACCCCAAAACTCACTTGCCATTGGGTTAAACGTTTACGTCGCCAGAGGGCTCAGACAAGTTTGGCATCCAATGGGTTTTGGTGTTTAGGGCTCGCTATTGGTTCTGCATGCACCCGCTTCGGCAAGAGAAGTCATGCTCATGCTGTCTAGTCAACAGGATTCCGACATCTGAGTTTCTCTACAGCGATGCCATTCATGGAAAGCCCTAACACCACTCCAAAGCTCTGTTTGTATACCCTTAAAACTAAAATCCGGTGAAGCGTGAGCCTTTAAAAGAACCCAACCGCAACTCTACTCCTCCCGAAGTCAAAGCCACGTGGCTCGAACGGCACAAGCACCCCGGCAGGGTGGATCCGTGCCGTTGTTTGCGTCGCGGTTGAAAGGTCGATGAAACAGTTCAAAGCCCAACTCCTTGAAGAGCCCTGAGATCAGTTTGGGGCTTAGGATGGTTTGACCCCCAAACCCTAAACCCTAAACCCTAAACCCTAAACCCTAAACCCTAAACCCTAAACCCTAAACCCCAGAGTTATAAGGTCTACCGGTCTCGGGTGGCAAGGGCCACAGGCTTCGGGTTGAGGTGTGCAGCGCAATGTTATTTGAGCGGGAATAGGGACTATCCTCACATTTGGGTCCTTGTTCTGCCAAGCACGAAGAAATTGCCATCAGTCGCAAAAGTATGACTATGACGTAGTTTGTTTTTAGCCCTTGTTCAATTTTGAGTCTCTGGCACGCGCATGAGTTTTAGCATGAGTATATTCATATGAGGGTTCCAATCTTGATCGCTATGATCATCGTGGTCACCATCCTGAGGATCATCATCCACACCATCAGCAGGAGAGTCATGTTAAGATAGTCGAACGAAGCTCATCGTGAATGGCAAGATGACATTGTGCGGCGAAGGGTCCCAAGGCTTTGTGGTGGCTCGTGGCCAGCCATTCGCCTCCCATCTCCACGACCTGATCCATCATTGGGTGTGAGACGTACTAGGGCTATCGGGCCTAGGATTCAGGGATCTGACCTTTTGGATGCGTTTGGGAGCTTGAACCAGTTGGGGACTGAAGGGTAGGACCTCTTCTGCCGGTCAGCACAATGAGCTCCAGTGAGCTAGTGACCTGTCCAAACTCTCGGGCTTGCGGTCACAGTGGCAGCTGCCCAAACTATTTGTGATACTGTCAGGTCTGCCAGACGACTTCCAAAGCCCGAAACATGCTTGAGACGAGTGCTTATAAAGGCACACGGCATAGCATATCTGATGGAGCCAATGCTTCAGTTGATGCCCCTGTGCAATGCGCAGCCCAAGGCACGTTATCAGGACTGTGGCCAGCGATCTCCTGCAAAGAGGCCAACATTTTCGGCATCAGTTTCGTGATCCAAGGGTGCGCTGGTGTGACTTCTTCGCCGAATCAAAACACACCTCATGCCACAAACCACCCATAAAGATCTCGCGCTTACGAACTCGACAAGCACGAATGAAGCCCCCCCCCCCCCCCCGAAAGTCCCGAGAGCTATGCATTTAAAGGTTTCGGGAACCCCTGTCGGGTTGACGAGTCCTGGTTCAAGATGCGTCCCCCTACTCGCTCCCGGGCTTCAAGAACATGGAAAGAAACCCCATGCCTCGCGACGTGGCATAAGGTTGAGCAAGCAGGGCTGAAGAGCTACAGGGCTTTGGGTATAGTATATATATATATATATGCAATCTAATGTACATATATATAGATACATATATACATAGATAGAAGCTATGGAAGCTATAGACGATAGAGTTCAGCAAACTCGTAGCATGTGTCGTTTCGCCTTTGCAGTCACTAGGGTCCCGTTTTGGGTCTGCATGACCCTAAGACTCAGATGTTGAGTGCGTAGAGCACGGGAACTGCACTTGAGAAGCCACCCAGGACCCATCAAATCCTGCCAGCCCCTCAACCTCTGATCTGCAAAGTTTTGAGGCTGCTGGAGCAGGCTTCTCCTACATTCCGCGTAGTTGCGAGCGCCGGTGCCGGAACTCCGAAAGCCACGCCTCCGCAAGACGCGCGCGGCGGAAAGGCCACTGTAGCCTGCACCAACGATGGCCACCTCGACCTCCCCGGGCTGCTCGCTTCAAACTTTCAACGTCCTGGGTGACCTAGAACTTTGAGCTAGCCCTCCCACATCCTACATCACTGCATGCTCGGCTTGAAGGCAAGTTTTTCCTAGTTCGAGCGATTTGCGTGTTTATGAAGCATTGTGCGGTGTGGACAGAAACGTACAGGGTTTGGTGCAGGATTTAGGGTTCCTGGCGCCGTCGTGTGAGCGCGGTCATCATGAAGAGATGCACCCTTCGCAGTGCAACGCCTGTTGTAGATCACGAACCCTGACCCCTCAACATTGCGAATCCGAGCTCTCATATTTGAAGCAGCCCAGCAATGCAGCAAGAGTCAAGAATGGTTTGGCAGGAAGGGTTCAGGCCAAAGAGGCTTCGCTGGCGTGTGATTGGGATACGTTGGGTTTCGAGTCTTAGGGTTGGGAGCCTAGCTTGGTGTCCAGCCCAAAAGCCCCAAAGACTCAACACTGATGGCCTCCTTTGCCCACCCCAGTATGGGGTGAATGCAGAGAACCAGCGAAAGCGCGGCGGAATGAGCAAACGGCATGGCCCAAGCAGCAACCGTGAGCTACTTTGTGTACCGGCTTGAGTTTACCGCTGAATGCAGATTTTGCCGCTGCATGCGCCCAAAATGGCTTGCTCGTGTGACGCTTGTAGCGCCGCATGAGGGTTCTGCTAAGTAGGACGGGGCTTGATCCATGACCTCCTCTTGTGTTCAACACTGAACCCTGTGACCCACAATCTTTACATTCAAGAAACCATGGTTGACTAGGCTTCGCAACGCAAAGATGCTTTGTCAGCGGTGCGCATAAAAGGTCAAGAATTCAACCAACGGCTTGCGCTCCTGTCAATGACACAAACCGGTGGCTTTGCATGGCCTACGATTGTCCGGATTGCTTGAAAACTGAGACATTGATCGAAAGCGTTTCCGGCTTTCAGGTAAACTTGTGTCTAAGGAGCCATATGTAATCACACCTTATCTGACAAGCACTCAAAACCAAATCGAGCGCCCAGCTCCATGTATCTTTCCCGGAGAGTCCTTGGTCTGAATTGATTCTCAAATTCTGCCATGATCATCTCTGAGGTCTTCAAATTCGTGCAAGCACCTGGCCCCCAGGATGCCTGCTTGAGGAGGGGCTATACAGGGCTTAAACAGGGGGCGACAGCTAACGAATGGATGCATCTGAAAACAATGAGGCCTTGGGCCACTGGGCACTTCCCATGTCCACAGTTTACATCACTGCGAACCTCGGCCCTCATTCAAACAGCCCTAGAAATCCTTAATCACGCTGTCAATCTGATATTGGGCCATCCATCTACGCCTAGAAGAGCCCGGCAAACCCTACGTAATTCCTAGTACCCGTGAAACCTGACACCGCACTCCAAAACAAAACTGAGTGTCTCGAGGTTCTCGAAGGTGGTGGCCAAAACCCGGCCCACGTGGCCCAAAGCTTTCCCTGTGCAACGGAAGCTTGCGGAATCCAAATGGCTTCAGGTCTTTAGGGACAGCCTGGCCGCGTTTTAGCTGCGGGGCGTAAAGGTTCTGGCTGTGCTGTTAAACGTAATGTGTGTGTGTGTGTGTCCGGCAGAACTTGGCTGCCAAGCCACGATGTCTGGCCAAATTCAGTGCAAACGACAAGTTTGCATCACCGAAGACGACTGCGTCAGTGGTAGGGTCGATGATTTCGAGACCTCAGCCACGGTTGAGCCCCGGGAGCTTGTACACTCAGAAAACAATCTCATCGACCCGCCACTGAAGCATGCTCTCAACATGTTCCTGGACTAGTTCCCCGGCTTGACGCCAAAACTCACAACACCAACACTCAGGGACACAACATGACAACATGACGCTTGTTACTTGATCTCTGCCCGTTCGCCATGCCAACTGAGAACCGTGCGGTAGTAGCGTCCAAGCACCTGCGCAATCCGTGACTATGGAGTTGCGGAGCGCAAATACTCCTCAAAAATAATAAGCTGTCTAGAAGAAGTCCCTCCAAAAGTAGTGGAACTTTGTTAGACTTTTTCAACCTCAAGCAGCCCTTAAAATGCAAAACAAATGGGCAAAACGCACGGCAAGGCCTTGGATCCGGATTGGAAGTTCGGTGCAGCCCCGACGCTGAGCCCTGCAGGACAAAGCAACGACCACTATCATGATCCATCTAGCAATGCTGAACAGCTGACGCACCACTGGACATTCGAAGTGGTAGTCAGCCAGCAGTCCGTCGTTGCAAACTCTAAATACCATCGGGCTGGCTGTCATCCTAAACCCCCCAAAATCCCCGCTAAACCCTTTACACCCTTCAAACCCTTAAGCCCCAACATGACTGGAAGAGGCCTCGCAATGCCGGTCGAGGCTTTGCCTCCTCCATCACTTGCTCGAGCCTGGGCTGGGGGACCTTTTTATGTCCCGCCCTGCCCCCCCCCCGCCGCTCTCGGGTTTTGGGTTCCCCCCCATCGTCCCCGTGTTCCGGGTGGCCAGCAATTGTGAAGATTGGAGCCCACTGAACCATCGGACCATGGAACCCGCCAAATTCAAACTCAGCTTGGAACGGCCGCGTTCCGTCGAAATGCTTCATCACATAGCGCACGTCCTCCCAGGTCAAGGAAACTCGCATGTTCTGGCAGTCACAAGGGCCGAAAACGCCGCCGTCCTTGTGGCACAGAAGACGTAGTCTGACCTCCTGCCTGGATGCAATTCAATGTAAACACAGGCATGCGTAGTGACATTCTCCTTGGGAGCCTTGTTTGCGAGGGATCGTTGCGGCTAGATGACACCACTCCAAATACAGCTCTATGGTACGAGCACAAGCCCTACAAGCGCGAACAATCTGGATCTGCTGCGAAGTACAGATCATGTCAGCTCAGGAACGTCCCGTCCAGGTTCCAATGAGCGCGGAATGCCTGAATCGGATCCAGGGATCCGCCACCTCAGTGCACTGGGGCATTGTAACCATCCCACACAACTCGACAACCTAAACATCTGAGTCACTTATCTTCAGCAGCAAATATACGGAGGGGAAGTTCCAGATTTCTAGCTGCTAGCTGACCAAGCAACTTTGGCCCATCATCTCGCGCATCTGGCCAGGTAAGTGCTGGGTCAAATACGGCTTCGGGTTGCGACTGTCTTGACTCCGACAAGCCAGTCGAGATCTCATCGGGTGCAGGACTGGCTTGGGGACTATGGGCAGAGTTGGGAAATACATAGTGAAGTGATGCTTCTGCTGGCTGCGTGGCTCTGAACTTTAATTTCCTGGGCTTGAACCTCATTTTTACAAGGTCCTTCTGCACCAGAGCAACGCCAGTCAGCAATCTCACAAATAGCTTGCCCGAACAGGCCTGCGCAATATGGACGGCAGACAGTTCCTGTCAGCGAAAGGGCTTTTCACGGGCACGTTGAGCTTCTTCTCAGCAACTTGCTCGGGTAGAGATTTCTGGCCACCCACAAACCCGGGAGAGCACCTAGCCGATACGAAGGAGAAGCTCCAAGCATCATGTCAAGCAAATAACTGAATCGTCCACCCCCGGTTGATTTTGCAAGCTGCCTTGGCAGCAGTAAGAAACTGAACTCTTGCATCCATACTCTGTGTTTTTGTTTTGTTTTTGTTCTGCCGTCTTTGGGCAGCCGGGATAGCATCGAAGCCAGGCTTCCTAAAAGAACTCTGACCTTCAAGCCCGGGCCGACTGGGCCACAAAGGAACACATAGTGGTTTCACAGGTATCATATAGGTATCATATAGGTATCATATGGGTATCATATAGGTATCATATAGGTATCATAGGTCTCAAAAGCTCTTTCCCCAATTTAAGCCGAGCATCAGCTGGACCTCGCCATTCGTTCGTGGTGTCTGGGTAGTACCTTGCAACCAAGGCTGAATCTGGGCGGCTGGTGCACAAAGCTGCCAGACTGAACGAGGACCCACGAGGAACAGCCATGATCCCAACAGACCAAGCATGCGAGATTCTGCCTGACATTGCTTAAGCCGAATCTAAGCCGTGCTCAACTGGTGCTGCAAGGCTTATCTCCGAAACCCACAAAAACTGCAACTTTAAGAATTCGTTTTTCCCTCAACAAATCGGCGTCCCACCCCGAGTTCTCGAGCTCTTTGAGCTCGAAAGCGTTGAGCCCTTCCAGCACGTGCCGGACCACAGTCTGCAGTGGCAGCAAGGGCGAAGAAGTGAGTGTGCGTGGCCAGCTACATCTCGGTTTTGGGATGTTTGCAGTTTCGGGTTGCATTCTTGTAATTGTCTGGCATTTCTCGTCTATACGGGTTGCATGCTGTCTGTGTATGGTGGATGATGTAGGTGTTGCATGGAACTGCAGGTTGCGAGTGCTTGCCTGGATTTGCCTCGAAGATGTTCTGCGCCAGGGCGCTTGCATGCTAAGATATGCTAAGGTGCTTCCGCGCAACAGCTCTTGACAAGGAAGCCAGGCTTACATCCCACATCCTCTGCATTGTTGGGTTGACGGTTTGGTGTGGGTTTCTAAGTGGTTAGGGTTTGGGTTCACAACATCTGGTTGCATGGACACAGCAGCCTCATGCGACTATGGCTTCGGATCTGGGGAAGACACACGTCGCTCATTACCACAAGTTCCTAGTGCCCTAGTGCCATGGACGCCCAGCTCCAAGCCCCTTGCGATGACTCAACCTGACCGCTCTGTGAACCATCGTGCCTCCCCCTGCAGGCCCCATTTTCCTTAGAGCAGATGGGGGCTTGAGTTTTGACGGAGCTTTCAGCACAAGTGCATGCCAAGCGGCGAAGGATTCGGTCGATGCGAGCGGTCTGCCAGGAAGCCGGAAGGACACAGCAACGGGATGAAAGCGCGGCACCACAAACCCATGAACACGCGACATCTTCCAGGGCACCCCAACAACACAAGATGACGAATCCCAAAACTTCTTGACATGAAGAGCACAACGCATACATAGCCTCTTGGCATGCACCTCGTAACTCTAGAATGCGCCCGCTTCCCCCAAAACTTGCACAACCCTCAAACTCGAAAGCCTCAAGCCAAAACACCCCCCCCCCCCAAAAAAAAAAAAAAAATGTCAAGATCCCCAAGAGGTCCCGGCCAAAACCCCCAAACCCTCAGCCTGCCTCATCGGGACCGACGTTCTGCTCCTCGAAGCGTGCGCGCTTGGTGGGCTGTTGCTGGAGGTTGGCCTGGCCAAAAATTGGGAAGAAGGGAGGAAGAGAGGGAAGGAGAGCATAGAAGAGAGCCCCCCAGAGCACTCTCTGATCTTCTTCTTCTTCTTCTTCTTCTTCTTCTTCTTCTTCTTCTTCTTCGGGGCTTGAAGGACGCTGACGCAGAGTGCCCTCTCTCTCTCTAAATACATATATACAAAAGCTCTGCTCATTGTGTGCTCAAGAGTCTCTGGTGTGTAGGGTAGCGATGGTGTGCTAGGACAGGAGGGACACTAGATGCCAAAGCAACTGCAGTTTCTGCGGGCATGGCACCCACACCCCACCGACCACAGGCATATGAAGCAAGCCCCAACCCTGAATCAGCCCCCGACCCCGAAGCACCTCCCCCAGGTCCCTAAGTCAACTCCCCAGCCCCACTCAACCTCCGAATCTGGAGCACGGGGTGATGCTTGGCCTTCAGATCGTCTGAAAGCAGGCGCTTCAGTCTGAAGGAGGCCTCCACCGCTCCCTGAAGCAGGGCTTTGGGTTTTTTGACTGGCTCCTTTGCTTGTGTATATATACATGTACAGTCAAGTCCCTTTCTAGGCGGTTGTGTGAGTCTAGGAGTCCAGACCCTAAAGCCTAAACCCTAAACCCTATACCCTGGGCGTTCGCATGTGTCTTGCCTTGGCCGCAGGTTCGAGGCGGACAACTTGGACTCATGCAGGTTTCAGGCGGGAGCAGCCATCTTCTGCAGCACTAAAAAAAGTCAGGCCTCATAGGGCCTATAGGGTTTAGGGCTACAAATCCAACGCCATCAACTGCTGTTCTGGAAGCCCAGACAAGCACGAAAACGGGTAGGCGGCGTGGCCTGGAGATGGTCTGCCACGTCGCCACTGTCATCCTCATCCGTGGCTTCCTGAACCCACATGTTTTACAGGCGTGACAGGCATGGACCTCCTGCAGCAACACGTGCCTCAAAGTGGGTTCACTTTATCTTTGTGGGGACCTGGTGAGGGGGCCTGGGTAAGTCGACAATCAACTGCCTCTATGTGCTCGCACGATGCAACGATGCCGCAAGAAGTCCTGGGTTGCCTGAACTCTACAATAATTGGTATGTTCAAGATGCCTCTACGCATGTGCATGCTGGTGGGTTTTCCACAAGCCCATGGGAGTACCTGCTTGATCAAGCGCCTTGCGCAACCCAGCCAGGTGTTGACACAGAACAGGCTAACATGATGACAGGGCTGCTTCTTAAACAAAATCAAGGCAGCCAATCACAACTCACAACGTGTCGGTCCTTTGGCTTCTCCTGCGCTGCCATCTGCACTTATTACAGGATCCGGTCTGAGGGTGTCACTAGGTGATGCTTGCTCTCGGAGGGTAGCTTTTGATCACCGTGGCTTCGGACCCATGGACAACTACGTTGCATTCTACAAGTGGCATGTATAATGCGACTCATACTTGGCTCAGATCCACAAATGGCTGGATGCCTGTCACCGACACGTTCAAGGTATAGAACTCATGGTCTCCCGTCCTTCGTAAAAAAGATCTTGCTTTCGAATTCAAGGTGCTTTACAAGCTTAAAGTTGGCGGTAGAAGACGATTTGCTTTCAATTTGTATGCGTGTGTCACATTGGCAAGGCAAGGAACCCGGACAATTAAAACGAAAATAAGACCCAATTATCGCGTTCCTGTTTGAATCCTTTTCACGTTGTATCTCGCAGGCAGTTGTGTCTTTTGGTTTGCGTTGTATGGCATATAGCTTGCACCAAATTTGCCTGCCAAAAACCTTGGCTCTTGCTCCATACAAGTGCAGGAGAGCGAGAGAGAGAGAGAGAGAGAGAGAGAGGGAGAGATAAAGAGAGTCATGGACAGCGAGGGCGAGAGAGACAGAAAACAAAAGACACATAGAGAGAGCGAAAGAAGAGAATTAAAGAACCTCACAAACCCTTGTAAGCCTAAGCCCTTTGTTTTTTGCATCCTAAGCCTAAGCCCTCAAAGCCTGAACCCCTTCTAGTCATCTCGGCATCCATTTAGTTTCGGGGCGGCGGGCGGCAGGATTTTTAAATAATCTTAGAGGTTTTTGCAACAACGTGGCAGTCAGAAGAGTAGACTACTGCTCGTATTTGAAACTTCGGGCGACGGTTTGCAGGTAGATGGGACGTCAAAGTAGGAACCTGTGACTGCGACTGCTTGGATTCCTGGATGCTCCCGACTCTGCCTGGTCCTCACAAGACCATGGCTCGGAGACCAGCTCCGAAGCTGTGCTTGATTGTGCTTGCATCCCTCAAACCGAGCACGTCGAGATGTGCGCACAGTGACCACACAAGACAAGTGGATCTCGCCGGCAACTGCAAGGATTCATGCAAGGATTCATGGGCCCTAGAACCTGGAGTGCCGAACTGCTGTGGCAGAAGCTGCGCAACGTCGCACATGCGTTTCGACGCAGTCCGCTCTGCAAGCAAAGATCAAACTTACTTTACTCAGTAAAATTGCAAGAAAATGGCGTAAACCCGTAACTTTATAAACAACTCTTATCAATCAACCCTATGTCCCGATGGAAACCTCCCAAGAGCTGTATCAACCCGAAAGTTGAGCCGTACAGGCCCTAAAGCCAAAAGCCTGTTCGGAACTCGCTGTCACGACCGGCCACTTGAAACACACACTGATTTCATGTTGGCACGGAAGGTGACATCAAGATTTCTTGGATTCTGGCTCCTACTGGGGAGTGGGGGGGGGGTCCTTCTGGCATCTTGACCACGCTCCAACGCAACAGACCGAGCAACCCCCTACACATATGGTCTCTGCGAACTGACACAGGCTCTAGGGCTCAGGGTTTGGGTGTTTAGGGTTCGCCATGCTTCCGGACAGTGCAGGAGCCCACGCCTTGGTAGGTATTCGGTGTCTTTTACCTGCAGAGCCTACAGTAGAAGACTCCTTACAGGATGGCACAAGAGTGGTGGAGTGCCTTCAAGAGCAGATGGAGACCTTGGGCCCGGAATCCACAAAGATTGCAGAAGCTTGGAAACCGACCAAGCCAGAGGAAAACCAATTATACTTCGGCCGCGGGCTTGCAGCCCGCATCCCTACTTTCAGGATTCATAGTTTCGCGAGAAATTCAAATCCCATCGAACAAGAACCATCACGAAAGAAAAGCTCAAAATACAAGCTTGCTGGCTCATCGAAGCCCTAGAAGGTACAGAACATGCCAACCCGCACACTGCACACTTAACGCGTGGCAGCACACTTGTTTTTCATTCTGTGCTGGGCAGCACGATCCTCACGCTTTCCATGATCACCTAGGCCACCCGGTCATCGGGAGGATTACAGCCCTTCTTAAGTTTCAGGATTTTTGGACTCTTATATCAAGGGGCCTTCCCAGTCAAAGGCCCTAACCTTCAGGCATCCGATTGAGCGACCCCGCCCTCAACCCCCAAACCAGCACAAAGTCTCTCTATAGCAAACCCAAAATCGCTACAAGTCACAAGCGAGTCCACAATGGCCGCACTCCACACGGCAAGGAACAAGATTCTTACGGTCTTACAGATCCTCTTGAACCCAGACTCCTGAAGTCAGCTGGGAAGGGCCTGTCTTACGGATCCTAAACCCTAAACCCTAAACCCCTTAAGTGTGATCACTGAACAAGCTCGAGCTTCCAAGACTTGTGTACCTTGAGCCTTTCACGGTCCCAAATTCCCGTTTTAAGAGTGCAGAGCTATTTGGGTTTGGCGCTGCGAGTGGCTACGGGCCCTGAGATGCTTTACTTCTGAACATGTGTTGGGGGGGGGGGCATCGTATACATCCTACCGCAGTCTCAACAGGTCTTTACACAACTTACATGAACTCAAGCATCCCGTAACCGGCTGACGCCGACTGTATGCCGTACCGCATATCATCTTCAATCATGAACAGAAGCTGAACACATTGAAATGTGAGCATTCAGTGTAATCATTCAGTTGTGTAAATACATCAAAGCCCCACAAGCCTCAAATCCTGACCGTATCCCCTTGAGGGGGCCGCCACCCGCCACCAGCTCCTCCGCCTCCGCCGAAGCCGCCGCCACCGAAGCCGCCTCCTCCTCCGTGACCTGGGTTGTGGCTTTACTGGGAAGTTGTGCTTGCGCGAGCCTGCAAGGATATAGGCATTATATGGTATTATGAAGCCTCTACAGGAGCCTGTAAGTTTGATGTCTTGCTTCGGGCAGGGATGGGAATTTAGGGTCCTGTGCATGTCAGCGGGCCCCGGCCGGCCGATGGTTAAAGATCGAAACGGAAGGTCGCCCTTGTTGGGCCCTTGCTGGCGGCGTGTGTATATGGGGGTTTCCGGTCCCTGTAAGGGGATTCTATTCTGTTTGGGCTATAAGCGGGGTACCCCTATTTTTGGAAATACCCATATAGGACATGAAGATACATGAAGAAAAACGTCGATATGGACTCGGTGCAAACATGTCGAAACATGTGCCATTTGAGCTTCTTGTGGGCATGTCTCCAAACACCCTGAGCCCAAACTTGATCGATCGGGAGCCCTTGAAACCCTCATCAATCTACTCTAAAACCTCTGTGCGAGGCGCATGCTGAAGAAACATGGGGATGCGGAGTTCAAGTCTCGAGCGAAAAGTGCGCTCTGTCCGTTTTTTTTCTGGCACTCCCGAAGTTCATTAGTCTGCAAGGCTATAAGCCTTCCGAAGGCTGCCCAGCCCACCGCCCTGCCTTGGACTGCGCCAATTTCTCAGTGTTAACAAGGAAGTTCGGAAGAGCCTCTCACGTTTAGGGCTCCTAAGATGGGGTGCCAACTGAAAGACAGAGAGTCAGACAAAACGTGGCATAAGGCGCGTTTCTGCAGCCGAAATGTTGCCCCGTGGAGCTGACATTTGGAGCAGGCCAAAGAACGGGCCCCGAAGGTGGTAATTAGAGTGTCTGTCTGTCTGACGCGCCCCCCCCCCCCCCCCTGCGACCTCAATCACAACTCAGGCAGAAGGCGTTGGGCTACTTGTCTCCCTTAAGCCGCTCTCGCTTCGGAACCCTATAGCAAACCCTACTCTCCATGAGGCCTGCAACATCTACACTTCCCTAGCTTGTTCTCATAACCCCCAGAGCAAAATACCAGTCTGCCCCTGACAACGTAGGTTCGGATAGAGCATCCATCCTCAGTGCCTCGTCTTTAGGCCGGGTCTTCGGGAATGCCAGGATACCTCCCATGGAGCTCGTCGCCACAGTGGTCGCACTGTGGAAGCTGCTGGTCACGCTGTCAGCGTAAGAGTGGTGGGGCACCTCGCTGCGAGCATAGGGTGTGCGAAGCCAAGATTGACTGGAGGGCTTGTAGTGGTTAAGGTGTGTCCACTGGGGCGCAAGCTCAAAGGCAATGGCTGTGGATAGACTTCGAACTTTGAACGCAAGGCCCTCAACTTTCAAACCTGAATTTGGCAACTCTACCGGAAACGAGCTTCAAACAAAAAACGACTGCAAGTGCAAGCCATAAGTGGAGGGTTTTGGAGCTCTGGGGCAGTCTCCGGGGCTTCTTGTGCCACATCTGGCTTCTCTGGCCAAGGGGCATAGAGAAGGTAGGTGTCGTTGCTGGAGTAGTACATTGGGCTATTTCGACTCGTCCGGAAGGTGCCAGGATGGCCTTGCACTAACTCCTCATCACCCCTCCAACCCCCAACCATGTTGTCCCACTGCCAGGTATATGCTGGGGACATGGCCACGCACCAGCCCTCAACCTTACAAACCCTACAAGCCCAGAAATGTCGGAATATCTAGAAGCCCTGTGACATGCTCGGGTTCTTTCCACTCTCAGACTCGGCTTGGCTTCTGAGCTTGGAGGCTCGATGTTCAGAGGCTTAGGTTTTGAAAGCTCGGGCCCGAAACCTGTTTGTCGACTTCTTCAAAGGCCTGTCGTGGCAAAATGAAAAAGAAACACTCACTAAAAGGATGACTTGGATGAAAGCTCACGATCCCTGCAGCTCACGTGTGCTGCCCAACAGATAAGAAGAGGCTCTCTCTCTGAATCTTAAGGGGTAGGGCTCACTGTTGCCCTGATTGTTCACTCTGGCATAGCTGGGCGGACTGCACATCTTGTTTGATGCTTGGCGTCAGTTTGGGCTAAGGTTTAGGGTTTGAAGGCAACTTCTTGATTCGACGTGTCGCGCGCCAAGAGCCTAAGGAACATGCACTGCCTGACCGTGAAGTCGCGAAGCCTAAGCGCCCTAACCCGACCTAAGACATAATCTCGCCAAAAGCTGCGGTAGCCCGAAAAGTTAAGGCCGAGAGTAAACAAGAACAAGAACAACATAGGGTGTTGATAGAAACCTTGACTAAAGAAACATTGTAATTGTGATATATGATATGCCCATGATCTCCCTGGTGGGATCATCTTGGAGGGAGATGTGCGTTCCCACACCGCCCCAGTTGAAGTACCATCAACGAGAGTGTTAACCTCATCGAATCCCTCAACCATCGGATTGCACCCCTTACAGTGCTGGCAAGGAAGCGCTGCGCAAGGCGCGAGAGGTAGAAGCGAAGTCGTCGCTGATAGTGCTCAGACTTCTGGCCATCCTGGTTGAATCAGCAGAGGATCTCGAGACTCTCTATGCCCTGAGGTACAACACTCTTGGGCAGGCGGTTGGGGATAAGGAATATCACGCTTAAGGGGAATTACCCAGCAGTGCGGGATTGCCTCATCTGAGAGTGCGAACTCAGCACCCACATCAGCTCGGCACAGCGGACAGGACCTGAGCATAATGCGCGGCTTGTCTGAAGGAGGGCGTTGCGCTTGGTCTTGCTACCAAGCTGTGGGAGGGGGTCCCTGCAGCCCACCTGTCGTACTGTACCTAGTACTCTCGTAGCGATAGCCAGGAAATTCCACACAGAAGCTTGCAACAAGTCAGCGCAGCATTTCTTTTGAGGCCCTTCTGATACCCTCAATCATCCGGAATGCGAAAATAAACGGCAAACCAGAAAGGAGACCGTACTGTAGAACAAACTCCAGCTGCCATGAGACTCCTTCGCCTGGACCCATTCCTCAATGCACTTCTTGTGGAAGCGATGCTTACCTCGGCAGAGCGCAGAACTCGAGGATTCCCAAGTTCCGAGCCGCACAGAAGCGGAGAGATGGAGAGAAAGAGATAGACAGGGAGAGAGGGAGACAGCGAGAGAGAAAGAGGGGAGAGAGCGATAGAGAGAGAAGAAAGAAGTAAGTGTCACGAGCAAGAAGAACAGAGAAAGAGAGATGGGGAGAGAGACAGAGAGGGCGGTCAGCAAGCAAGTTGCAACAGAGCATGGTCAGAGAAATCAATGCAAAATGATATTCCTGCGTATGCAACACCTGCTGCTTGGTGCAGTCAGTCCGCAGCTGAGAACTTGCACGTCGGCAGATTCTTCAGAACCGAAATTCCTGGGTTTGCAAAGCGCATGTGAAAACCTCAACGCCGCAGCCACAATCTCCGAAAAATTGCCACTGCACCGCAATGCATCTTGGACATGTGTGGAGTCGGAGTCGGAGTTTCACGGCTAGGGCTCAGGGCATGACTGCGTGCTAGTCACACGGGGCATCATGACAGCTCTGGGGACTTATTGACAGAATAAGCTTGTTTTCTGGTGCACGACTTGCCTTTCATGAAAGCCCAGGATCTCCAGGCAGATGGGACACATCGACTGGTCGAACTCGTCCTTTTCCATCTCCTTCTGCACACCTGGAATAGGAAATTACAACTAGTCACAGGAGCTTGCAGGCAACAAGGTTCGCGAATCTCCGGGTGCCTGTTCAGGCTTCGGAGGTGTGGGGTCTGATTTCGCTAGATTGGCTCGGGTAACTTCAGGACCGGGGCTCAAAGAAGACTTTGAGATACAGCACCATACATACCATAAAGGTCGCCAATTCTCTTCGAGTCGCAAGGGCTCTTAGAACTGGAGCCCTCAAGCCCCCTTTACTTCCAAGCCCACCGCAGGAAGCCCTGGAATGTCCCGAGCGGTAAGAAGAACGGACTTTAGGGGGCTCACAGGATCTCTTAGGTGTCAGCCGCAGGTGCGTTGCAGGTCCTTCTGCGCGCTGCTGGGAAAGAGTCTCCGCCAACCGGCCGAAACTGCATCCGCGAGTTTGGCGCAGGGCCAGGCTATCAGCATGGTCCTTGGATTCTACCCTAAACCCCAACATTCAGTCTATAAAGCAAACCCCGAGCCGAAGCTACCGAGGACCAACGATCAAGGCATGGGCCCCAACGTACGAGAAGATCAGATCAGGGGATGATATCACTGAAGAGATCTTGCTTTCGTCTGGTTGGCAGTTCGTCCTGCCCAGTTACCTGTCTGGATGTTTGGAATTGTTCCTTCTGCAGGCCACTTCCCTGTAGCTCTACCACCCACACAGAAAGGCCCTTCATTACTGCCAGCCACCTCAACCCTGCGGCCTGGAGCTGTTGAGGACTGGACATTGACACACCCTTACCTGCAGCCACAGGGTCACAAAGGCCAGCCCGATGATCAAGAGAGCCAGGATCTGAGGTAAGTTGATGCCTGAAGCTGCGATGCTTGTTATGGATTGCTCCCCGTAGGTGGGGTGCCCCGATCCCCCCCACCTCTTTCTCCCCTCCCTATTTTGGAAGCTTTTTTCAGTGGAGAACTTTCCAGAACTGAGATTGTCCGTGCTGCGAATTGGCACGTGTGGAACCCGGGCCGCCTCTAGACCTTCCAGCGTCCCCATGCCCAAGCCCCACCCAGGCAATCGACGCGCAGCGTGACAACTACGGCTTGGGCTGGTCTACACCACTATTCATGAAGCTCTGCGTTGTTCCATTTCAGCATGCACCATCACGAAAGACTCCGCAATGTGTGGCCAGGTGCAGACACAGAGGGCCAAAACGGTGTACAGGAGGTAGTCGGTCCACGTGTGATACACCTTTGTGGGACTATGGCTTGAATGCCATGCGACTTGAAATGCAAGCCTACAAAACAAAGCATCAAGATTCAAGACTGCCATCCTTTTTTGTACCCCTCAATTTCTGGCAAAGCGGCTGGGACACGTTTTCCTTCCAGTGCTTCCAGGATCTCCTCTGTGCCGCGGAGAATCGCGGCGCCAGTCTTAGCTTGGAGGCAAAGCGACGAGAACCCGAACCCAAGATGGGACCCCGCTTTACGTGAGCTTGGACAGGCCCTGAAGCCTTTGAAGGCCACCCTAAAGCCTAAAAAACCGAAGAGTCCAAAATCCCACCCGCCAGGGTACACAGCTTCAATCTCTTAAGCCTCAACTCTGAGGAATTCTCCTGCTGGGAACCGGGACACATATTTCAGGCTCTTTATGGCAGAATCTCCACCGCTTGGCTACTGCATGGCATGTGCTGACCGAGCTGCATCCCCTTTTTGCAGGAGAGGCTTCATGTTCTTGAGGATGGTCTCGGCTTCTGAATCCCACAGCACTTCGCGCGTTTGCTTGGCAGTCCTCGGATCTCCACATGTGCGGAGGCTCTTTGGTGCCAAGCGCGGGGCTTAGTAGCGCCTTTTTTCCCATATTGTTTTCGTACACTGAGAGATTCTGAGACTCAACCTTGATCGCCGGCCTAAGGCGTCCCCCACTCTCGGCGTAACGCCAACAGACACCTTAGATACGTACAACGTTGCTGTGGACCGTCTGTCGGGGTCTGTGGCAGCAAGCGTCTTCAAGTAGAACATGCGGTCGTCCACGCTCAAGAAAAGCATCAAACCTTGGCTGTTAACTTGTGCCGAGAAGAGTAATGCTCTGGCAATGGAACACTTTGACACAGCATTCGTGCCGCCCGTTCCTCCTGACCACTGACCTTCTACCTCCTTGACTCAACATAAGAGAAATAAACACTTCCACACTGTGCAAAGTTCCAGACTGTCTGTGCCGCGCGTTCGACACTGCGAGTCCAACAGGCTTTGGGCCCGAGAGCCCTAACCGGCCCTACCCTCATTGCTGCAACTCCTGAGCACCTTGTGCGAATCCCCTTTCTCGACACTGCAAGTAAGCTGAACGCCCTGAACGCCCTCTCTGAGCTTGCCACCATTGTCGCAGCCTGCATCGCCAACGCCCCAGAGATCACCGACCCGGTGGGCAAAGTGCTCACCCGTCACCTCCTGATCAGTTGATGTGTTGATGTGTCGTATCTACTGCTGCCTTTCTGCGCACCCGTCTATGCACACATCTCTATGTCGACATACTGTACGTTTACCTGTATCGCATCAGTATGCGACTAACTGCAACAGGGCTGTCGCTCTGATGATGACAGTAATTACAGCACTTCTTCTGGATTTCGAGAAGCATTCAATTGTGAGAAATGCTGGCTGGTCGCATGCGATCTAGGACCGGTATGACTCGCAAGTGTCGTGCAGCTGTTGGCACGAGAAGATAAACAACCAAGAGTTGAAATGAGACTTCTTCAGTTGAGGGTGGGATGGGATGGACGTAGGATGTGTAGAAACGCAGGACTTGCAAGAAGCAGACTGTCTCAGATTGCGGCTTCGCTTCTTTTTTTCCGAAGAGCCATGTGTGGGCGCCAAATGGGCCAATCCACTCGCTGCGGGCGATGTTCTTGACCTTCGATGTTGACAGCCGCGAAAACTAGCCACCATGTTCTATTCAGTGGGTGCGGTTGTGCCTTTGGGAGTGGTGTCCAAGGGTCGAGGGACCCTGCCTAAGATCCAGCACCACCGTCACACCTGCCATTGACCTGAAGAACGCAATGCC